CTGTAGGATCCCCAGCCGGCAGGGGTGCGAGACAGCAGGCAAGGGGAGAACGGGTTCTTCCCTGGTGGGCAGGAGGGAGGGGAAGGGGGTACACAGGCGCCTCAACCTGTGCCCAGCAGGATCTGCAGTCCGGGACCCCAAGGCAGGGAGCATGAGGGGCGGCAGGGCCAGTGACTTCTGGAGGGAGAGGAAGGTTCCAACAGCAACCCCAATGGGGAGAGGGCCCTGGCTCCTCACGGCTGCCAGGGGAGGCGGTGAGCCGGGGTGAGCCAGGGTCTCCTCAACAGCCCGCAGAGTCCCCCACACCCCCGGCGTGGCTCCTGCAGCCCCTTCGTTTACAGGCCCTCTTTTCTATTTTCCGCCTGCATGCCCTTTGCATTTCAGACGCTAGATTGGCTGCATGGTCACGCTGGGACCAAGACTGAGTCACCTTTTTAGCAATAAAGGAACATGCAACCCTCTCACAGCCCCTCCTCACCCACCACAGGACCCTCCCTTCCCCACCACACCTGTGACTTCCAACCCCTTCCAGAACAGCTCACTCACCTCCACAACTGAGTCCACTGCTAATTTGTCAAAAAAGGTCATTGTTATATTAAATTCCAAGCAGAAACAAATGGGAACTCTGCCCTGAGATGTCTGAACACCTGACTGTTGACACTTGAACATTTTTATATTATAAATAAAATTAAAAACAACTCCTGCTTGACTGTGTGTGCCTAGCCCCTGGTGAAGAAAGACAGAGGTCAGCATGCAGACTGCAGAATGCCAGGGCCGTCCTGGGACGAAAGCACCCTCTAATCTCCCAAGCCCCATCCAGTTCCCAGGACAAGTGCCAACCCTCCTCACTCACCCGGGCACAGTTGCTAGGTGTCCTCCCTGGCTGCAAGGGAACCTGGCCAAGGCACTGACGCAAACTGCTCTGCCTCAAACCCAGGCCCAGAACTCTGCCCCACTTCCTGCCCCAGAGCTGCCGAGCCCATGAGGCAGCCAGTTCCGGGCCCAGGTGAGAGAGGGCAGGGGCTGCGGGACTGGCACTGGGCAGCTGAGGCGAGATGACCCCTTGGGGCCTTAGGCATATCACAGGCACAGTCTGGACATGCAAGGTGGCATCATGCTGCCTAGGCTGCCAGGCAGGCCATGGCTGCCGTGGCTCATGCCCACAGGGGATGCTCTTTGCCCAGTTTTGTACCCCTCAGAGCCAGGACCTGTCCAAACCCGCAGCCACTGAGGAGCTGTATGTGAATCCTAACCCCAGCACAGAGAAGGAGGAGGGCCTGGCTAAGGAGACTGTCTCCTTGGCTAGTCACCTGTTATACCAGGGAGCTTTAAGTTCTAGGCAGAGGGACAACTAAGGCAAACAGATGATGTGTGTGTGTGATGTCAGTGTATCCATCTGCATATGTGTGTGTTGCATACACATGTGAGTATGTGTGTGTGCCTGGGTGTGTGCATGTGTATATGTATTTTTGCGTGTGTATAAATACATAGAGTATGAGTGTTCATGCCTGTGTATATGTATTCATATATGTTTGCATGTGTATGTGTGTGAATACATATGAGTATGAATGTGTATGTGTGTGCCTGTGCACACCAGGAAGTGGGGAGTGTGAACCCAAGAGAGAGGACTCAGGCAGCAGTAGACCTCATCAGAGCCCTCCTGCGCCCCTTGCAAGTTGTATGACTTCAGAGGGCTTTAGAATGGTGATGCCAAGATCCACAAGTGGCCACTGCATATGAAGCACCCCACCAGCTGACACATAACACATGCCTACTAAAAGGCCACTTTGGTGCTGGAACAACGCCAACATCCAGGCCTCGCATCTGTCAATCACAAAGAGTGGCGGAAACCAAAGGAGATGGAGGGGTTGGAGGAAAGCGGGGAAGGGGCTGAAGCCACTTTGTTCACATGGGGGCTGCAGAAGAGTGCATGCCCCTGACCACAAAGCTTAGGATACAGTGACCCAACCACAGCGTAAGCTGGCACGCCCTCCTCTTCCTTCCTGCAGACAACCTCACCCAGAACTTCGGCCAGCTCTAACTTCGCAGTGGAGAGCCAAGAATTCCTCTATGTGACCCCTGACCTCAATGGGATCCTACACTGATTCCAGATGACCTGGGGAACCCACTCATCTTTTCATCACCCAGCTGGGTGTCCTCATTTGACTCTTCCAAAGGTTCTGTGTTGTCTTGTAAGATTTTGCTGAGAAACTACCCTGGGGCCAATGTTGTGGTGCAGCAGGTAAAGCCACTCTCTCCAACACTAGCATCTCACATGGGCACCGGTTCGACTCCCATCTACTCCACTGCCAATCCACCTCCTTGTTAATGTGCCTAGGAAAAGCAGTAGCAGCCCAAATTCTGGGACCTATGCCATGCACATGGGAGAACCTGACGAATCTCCTCCAGCCTGACACAGCCCCGGTCATTTCAGCCATCTAGGGTATGAACCAGCAGGTAGAAGATCTGTCTCTCACTTTAACTTTCAAATGAATCTTTGGGGAAAAAAAGGGGTCAGCAGTACAGCATAAAGGCTTGAGTCACTGACTATGGCATCAGCATTCCATAAAGGTTCCAGTTCAAATCCCCACTGCTCCACTTCCAACCCAGGTCACTGCTAATGTGCCTGCGGACAAAAGCAAAAGATGGCCCAAGTGCCTGGACCCTTGTACCCACATAGGAAACCTGGATAAAGCTCCTGGTTCCTGGCTTCAGCCTGGCTCAGTCCAGACCACTGCAATCCTCTGGAAGAGTGAACCAGTGAATGGAAGAGCTCTCTGCATCTCTGTTTCTGCAACTCTCACTTACAAATACATCAATCTTCACAATAAAGCACAACCACCAAAATACCACACCCACTAGTCTATTACCCCCTAATGAAGTGACCTTAACATGACTCCAGTCAGTACCTTTACTGTGCACGCTGGAGTCTAAGACCCTTGTTACATCTGACAGAGCTCTATGGCTCTTGACCTGCAGTGCACACAGGTGTGTGTGTGTGTGTGTGTGTGTGCACGCGTGCGTGGGGAGGGAGGGTGTCCGGGGAGCATGTGGGGTTGGACAGGCCCCTTCTCTGCCGCCATGGGAAACCTTCAATACAGCCTTTCCCTTTTCCAGAAGAGCAGCAGCCCTGACGAATGAGGTCACCCTGACAACTTTTTGAGTCACAGTTCTCTTCCCCACTCCCATTTTTTTCCCCTCAAAATTCCCAAATGGTTACAGGGGCCACCTGGCCTTTTGCCCACCAGACTGTGAACCCCACGGGGAAAGGGGCACAGGCCGACTTGTCCCGACCGCAGCACATCCAGCCCCCATCCAGCAGGGGGCACACAACTGACCCTGGATGATACAGTAAAGGCAAAAGAGAAGACCCTGCTGCAAAGGCCCGAGCCCACAGCTGTTGCCAGACCTCGAGGCAGCGCAAGGATCCACACGGCTCACCTGGATCCAATTCCTCCACAGAAGTGGGGGACAGCACAGAGCGGAGGGCGGTGCTTGCTTCACAGGCAAGAAGAGAGCATTATAACTTTGAATTAGATTTATTGTAGCTCATCTTTCTTGTAAACTATTTTTGTGTATGCTTTATAATGTACATAGTATTTTAGTACAGTAGTACAGGTATATAATTTACAAATAAATAATTATACAATGAAGGAAGAAAACTAAGAATTGTTCCATGGATGGGAGGCACGGCTAGTGCCCAGGGAAGCATGACCGTCTGCCACAGGCCCCGGGGCAGGCTTCCTCACCTGGGGAGGGTGACCCTGCCAGCCAGGGGCGCCCCGAGGAGGCAGGTGCTAGTGTGCGGCCACACTGCCCTTTCAAATTCGCTTCAGCGAGTCATGACTCCCCCGTCCCCCACCTACACCCAGCGCACATCCCAAGGGGCCCGACGCCGGCAACCAAGCAGCTTCAACTGATCCCACTTCAGTCCTCGGTCTTTAAATCACTACATCTTTCCGACTCACACGTCCCTTGCATCCAACATCAACTGGGCTTGCAATACTGGGTCCGCAAGGCAGGTTTCTCCTATTAACGAAACATGTTACCACGGAGGCCAAACTACAGTAACCTACTCAAATAGCAACAAAAAAAGAATGTGCTCATGGCAGCTACAAGAGGGGGCTATCACCCCTACCCTGTGAATCTAAAGAGTGCAGAACTTCCAGGTTTCATCTGTGAGGTGGCTGAGTTCTCTGTTCTTCCCACGTATCTATCACCTCAGCTCGTGAGTCACTAGAGAAAAACCAAACAAACCCAAAAAGACCACCGGCAGCTCGTCCTCCCCTCTCTTTCCGACCCCAAGAAGTCCCGGCTTCCGAGGCCTTCCCCCGCCACTCGGCCGCCCCAGGGACGCTGCCTGCACCGGCGGAACATTCCAGAAGCCCCGGGAGAGCGGCCTGCACCAGGGTGGGGCCGAGGAGGCAAGGAGGCTGAGAGGAGGTCGTCTGGGCCTTCCGCTCCGCAGCGACGCCGCGGGGCCTCCAGGCCGCCGAGCCCGAGGACAGAGGCCCCGCCGCCATCTTTAAAGGCGTTCCTTGCGCACACAGATAATTTCCACATATATACACACACATTTCTGTCAGTATAAAAGGAGGCCGCACTGTCCCCGCGGACGGCCACGCCAGCACGATCCGCTTGGCCCCAGGCGGGGCTGGGCCGCGTCCCGCATCGTTACCCTGGCAGGCGGGAGGACAGTCCAGGCGCTGCGGGGAAGAGCCGGACGGCGCTGGCGCTCCACAGGAAGGAAGCAGACGAGTTCGCGGGGTGGCGCGGCGAGCGCTCCGAGCCAGGCCGGCCCCGGGCGTCCGCGGGCCCCGAGCCAGGCCGGCCCCGGGCGTCCGCGGGCCCCGAGCCAGGCCGGCCCCGGGCGTCCGCGGGCCCCGAGCCAGGCCGGCCCCGGGCGTCCGCGGGCCCCGAGCCAGGCCGGCCCCGGGCGTCCGCGGGCCCCGAGCCAGGCCGGCCCTGGGCGTCCGCGCCCGGCCTCCCGGCCGCAGGAGTCGGCGCGGCCCAGCGGCCTTCTCCCGGAAGTGGCGGCTCGAGCGTGCGCACGCCCGGCCTGCAAAATGAGGCTCAGCTGTGGCAAGGGAACGAGGGCTACGGGTGCCGGAAGGCCTGGGCCTCGGACAGCAGCGCCTTCTCGGCCCGCAGGCCCCTCCGCACCCCTCGGGCTGCCGGGCCACTGGCTGCAGCTGTGTGAGTGGCAGCTGGCTGGAGTTGTGCTCACTGACCCGCCTGCCTGGGGCAAGGCTCCGCATGTTCGTGCCAGCTAAGTGTCAGGCCCGGTGGCATCCTTGGCGGCTTGGCTGCCAGTCACAGGCCCGTGGCCCTGGCTGAGGGCAGGGCTCGAGTGTGTCTTCCGAAGCGAAGGGTCTTCCCCGTCCAGGGTGGCGAGCCGGGCCTCGATCCGCTCCAGGTCGTCAGAGCCCACCTTGATTTTCACCGACAGCAGGTGGATGTAGGTCTCATAACGGCTTTTCTGGGGGAAGCATGGAGAAGGTCAGAGATAGAGTCAAAAGGCAGACAACAATAAGGGGGAAAATGTACTAAGTATGACTTTACATGTCCTTAATAAGACTTTTCACATTAATACCAAGGATTGCACCAGTCTAATAAAGCTAGTTCACTAATAACATTTAAAATAAATAATTGGCAGTGACTTCTTGATTTTGACACCAAATGCAGAGGCAAAATAAAAATAGACAAGTGGAACTTTATCAAAATGTTATATTTCTGTACATCAAAGGATATAAGCAACTTAAAAGGCAGTTATGGGAGGAAATAGTTGCAAATCATATATCAGATAAGGGGCTAACATTCATAATATGCAAAGCACTGCTGGAGCCAGTGTTGTAGCACAGTGGGTTAAGCCAACACTGTGGAACACAACAGCAGCATCCCAGTAGACTGGTTTCAGTCTCAGCTACTGGACGTCGAAGCCACTGCTGAGACCCTGAGAAGGTGGTGGAAGGTGGTAGAATCAGGAGCCCCTGCAGCCCCCGTGGGAGACCAGAATGGAGTTCCTGGCTCCTGGCTTCAACATGGTCCAGCCCTAACTTGGGGGTGGGGGTGAACCATTTGAGGAATGAACCAATACCCCACCCACCACATCTGTCTGCATTTCAAGTAAAAAAAAATGTAAAGGAAAAAAAATGAACTACAATTAGAAAACAAACAACCCAGTTTAACAACGGGAAAAGAACTTGGATAAAGATTTCTCCAAAGAAGGTATACAAATAGCCAACACATACACACGAAAAGATGTTCACCATCTCTAACCATGAGGGAATTACATGTCCAAATGGCCAGGAGATATCACCTCCTACCTGTTAGGGTGACTACACAGAAAATACAAAAACGGAAAATAAGTGTAGGTGAACATGCAGAGCAATTAGAGTCCCCTGTGCTGCTGGTGAGAATGTAAGATAGACAGCAAGGACATTGGTGGTGGGCAGCAGCAGGCAGGAGCTGGCCTCCCCCAGCCCACCGCATCCCGTGGCCCCCTGCACACACCCCACCAGCGGTCCCACCTCAAACGTGAGATAGTGCTCCTTCAGCCGGGCCTCCTCGGCCTCCTTGGACCTCACGCCCCTCTCCACCGCGTGCTGCCTGTGCTCGGCCAGCTCTGCCGTCACCTGCCTCAGCTTGTTCTCATGGGACCGCAGCTGCTCCTCCTGTAAGACCCAACCCCGAGCTGTGATGTCCTACTCTGGCCGCCACTACAGCCAAGGGAACCTGAGGCCTGGCTAGGCTCACTGAGCACCCCGGGAGAGCTCCTCACGCCCTTCCCCTCCCGCCGCTGGCTTCCGTGGGCTTCCATTCTCCCTGGCAACCCCCAGCAGGCTCAGGAGCTGGGAGCCCCTTACATCACATATACCTGTAGACACCCCTGACCTAGATAACACCCCCAGGCATGCCAACCCTCCCAAGCAGAAACAGCCCTCTGGACCACAGAATGGCCCTGCTCTGGCTCCATGTGACATACTCATTCTGTCATGCACCTGCTCAATACACAGGCATGATGGTGACAGAGCCAGAATCACACCCAAAAGCAGCTGGCAACACTGTCACTGATGCAGAAGTGCACACCCCTCCCAACCCCACAGTACAGCCATGCCCCTTTGCACACCTTGGGCATGTGGGCACGTGGACATGTGCCTGTTGTATGCCTTGCACTGCTCATGTATGTGGTTTATGCAGTGTAGGGGCTCTGGGTTGAAAGGGAGGCCACCAGAGAGAGCTCCATGTAGAGAGCCAGGCAAGGTCAAGGAGGAAACAGGCCAGGGCTGACACAGACAGGAAGTTCCTGAGCCTGAGGACAGCCCTCCCTCCCTCATATTCTGGCCACCACTGACTCCTCACCAAGACAACCCCAACTTCCTAGAGCACTGGTTTACTAAGGGTTATGCATACAGTCTTTCAACACAGATGAGGCCAGTGAATGAGCACTGGATGAAGGGCCAGCCCAGGGTCACCTGCCCCTGGATTGCTATGAGCCACTGGGGATACCTGCTTTTAGCAGAGAAGCAAGCACACACCACCCACCACAGCCCAGCCAGCTGCTGGTTGGATGGAAAACATTGCCTCTACCCTGGGGTCCCTCCTTAAGAGTCTGAGTGGGGTCTGTAGGATAGGGTGGAGCATCTGAGTGGGGAGCAGCCATGGGAGGAACTAACCTGGCAGAGGCGTGTGGTGCAAGAGGGCAGCAAGGGCCGGCAGAACTTCTTCATGGAGCTGACAGCAGCTGGGAAGGCCGGGGCCGAGAAGATGGCGGCCACCAGGTTGATCCTCAGGATCCACGACAGCATTTCTTCCTTGCTCCTGGGGATGGAGAGAGAGGGGAGGGTGGGGGGTGTGGCTGGACAGGCCTGGGCGAGGCAGCATAGGCAATGCCCCTCTGACCCAGCTCCTAGGACAGACCTGGATTTCATGTCAAAATAAACCTCCTGGGGCCAGAGCTCAGGGCAAAGGGCCCAGGTGGTCAGAGGAAGAAGGCCAAGGCTGGCTGCCCAGCCTACCTGCAATGACAAGGCCGTGCCTGCCTACAACCCTCCTCTCTCATCTGACACGTGAAAGAGACATGGCTATCTCCAGGGCAGGGAGCAGGGGAGTGGGAGGAGCGCCTTAGAGGTCAAGTGCAGGGCAAACATTCCCAAGTAGCCCTACAATGAAGCTGAAGGTAATTGTAAAGTCCATGCCGGCCATGGCAGGGCTCCTCAGGGTGCAGCTGTGGGGCTATCCCGGAGTCCTGAGTCAGCAGTCATAAGACAAGGCCCAGGAGATGCTGGTTCCAACCTGCTTCCACAAGCCACTGAGGGGGCTGCACTGCGGGACTCCTGATGGTGGACACACTCACTCCATGACTGCAAGGCAGGTGGGTGGGGGAAGCAGGGCTCTATTCTAAGGAGAGGAAGAGGTGGTATGGGGTGCAGGCTGCAGGGTAGGGGGTCTGGGGGCCACAGCACCCACTCACGGGGCCTGGAAGAGGAAGACCCTCCAGTCAGCCGTCTTCAGCTTCAGCACGTGGGACTTCTTGCTGTAGTCGGAGGCCCTGGTGGCCAGGGCATGGTGCACACGGATGGCATTCTTCAGGTCACCCTCTGACAGGGCTTTGTCAGGCCTGTATTCATCCTGGCCAGGACCCAGAAGCACACCCCTGTCACCGTCACCATCACCAAGAGGCCATCTTCCTGGCCCACACTCCCCACCCACATGGCCTGCCCTCTCACCCTCCTCTTTCTCTCCCTCCCTGTCTTAGTTCCTGTTGCTGGGCCACCTCAGTCACCCTAATGAGAATTCCCCAGGCAGGCTCCCTGGAGCCCGGGCTGTCCCTGTTTAGGCCTCACACTGGGGGCCCACTGAGCCACTGGGTATTTTAAACACCCTCACCTCCCCTCAAAACCTCCAAAGCCCCAAATGAGTCAAATCTGAGTCAGGCCCTACCAGGGAAATTTCCAGTAGCCTCCAGGCACAGGGCCCTCAGGTACCACAGGGACCAAGCTGGGCCCTCCTGGGTAGAGGCCCAGGATGGGCCCTTACCTTCTGCAGGTATAAGATGGTCCCTTTGAGCACTGCGTAGAACTTCTTCCAGCCTCGCCTCCCACGGGGTGCTGCAAAGGGGAGCAAGAGAATGCGGCTGCAACCACCTGCTCCAGTATGTCCACCATGCCTCCCCCTGTGTGGGTATGATCCCCTCCATGCCAGCATCCCTCCCCATGCTCCTTCCCCAGCCTGACACCCACTCCTCTTGCCATCCATGTCCGCGTGGGTCTTCCGGGTGAGCACGCCATGCTTATAGGTGGTAGCACTAAGAGCCTGGGGGACATCCAGGAAAGGGTTGCCACCATCCAGGATCCGAGTCACTTTCTTCGTGCCTGTCCCAAACTTGTCATCCACCAGCTCAGACAGGGACTTCCTCAGCTCGTCTTCATCACTAGGAAAGCACCAGGCCTGAACACCACCTCCAAGGAGGCCTCAGGCCCATAACCCCAGGGCCTCTCCCACCAATCACAGCTCTGGTAGCCAGGGCTAGAAGTAAACAGCAGCTCCCAGGAGGCAGAGTCAAGAAAGTTCCAATTTCAATAGCAGCTCCAGCTCCCTGACCCCTCCACGCAGTCTTCAGTTCTGACTCCTGACTACTGATTTCCCATTTTTTTTTTCTTTTGCCTCCAAGATCACAAACTTGGAGACTTCACTATTTCTAGGGCTCATCTCACTCTTCCTTCTCCATCCAGCCCTGAGATCCCAGCCCAGGGGCATTAATACAAAGCCAGACCAATGCTGAACACAAACCCCACCACCAGGGATGAGCATTCGGCCTAGCGCCTGGGACACCTGCACTGCAAATGAGGGCGCCCAAGTCCCACATCCAGCTCCATTCCCAGAGAACACTAGGTCGTGGTCTGAGTGACTGAGTGCCTGCCATCCATGCAGGAGACCAGCCCCATTCATTGTAGCTTGGGGGAGGCATGAACTAGTGAATGGGATCTATTAATCTATCTCTTTGTTAAAATAAATAATAATAAATAAGACAAAGTAAGAAACTACCAGCATGCTATCAGAGGGCAGGTCAGTAGGAGAGGCCCCTAGAGTCTGGCTCCCATGGGAGCCCTGGTAGAAGAGTCTCAACTCTCTGTGATGAGGTTGGGGTTCCTGACAATCCCTACCTAGGACCTCCACACAGATTTGAAAGTGTAGCTGCCCTCAGGAGCACAGCTGGGAGAGACTCCCTCACATTCTCTCCAACCAGCAAGCTCACTATGCCTCCTTCCAGAAGGCAGCACCTCCACATGCACTGTCAGGGGGCTGTCTTCCCATTAACAATAGCAGGTCCCAGCCTTACAAGTTCCTATTCTCTGGGTTATAGGGGCCCTGTGCCTCCCATCTGCCTACCTCCCAAAGGGGAAGGAGCTGTCATAATTGGTAAGTATGGCAATATGCCAGTACAGAAAGCCAACTATGGGTATCCAAGCAGTGTAAATTTTGCACACTTGTATACGGACAGAACCTAAAGAGATCCTCCTCAACACTGATGCTAATCTGCTGAACAGGCTTTGTCAGAGCTCTGGGCTGGAAGAAATCAGCACCATGGAGAGGGGCCAGTCACTAACCCCACCCTGGCCACGCCCCTCCCAGGGATGCAGTCAGCCCTCAACTGTGCCCCTGAGCACTACTCACATGGCCCATTCCAGCTTTTCATTCTTGATGGAATTGTACAGGGACTGGAAGAGGGGAAATAGAGGGGTTCAGATGAAGAGTCTCCATCAATGCTGGTGCTGTGAATCTTTTAACCAATAGATTAAACAGGATGTATGGATGGATGAGTGGTACTTAATCATATGATCTTTAATGTCTGTCTTACCTAGGAAACTAAGCTTCACAAGGTCAAGAAATATTTATCTTGCCCACCACTGAATCTTGAGTGCATAATCCAGAGATCAACATATAGTAAGAACCTAATAAGTGGATGGAGTGATGAATTCTGGAATGGATAGGTAGAGATGGGTTGGAAATGAATGCAGAAGCAGGCAGGTGTGTGGGTGAAGAGGGATGGAGGATGTGAGGGATACTTAGAAGTATATGGGTGTGTGTATAGGGCAGATGGATAAACGATAGGATGACTGAGAGGTAGATGTGAGGATGACTGGGTGGGCAGGGGGACAGAGGTTTGGAAATGGGTAGGTGAAAAGATGGTGAATAGATGTGGAGTATGACAAGGGAGTGTTTGGGGCCCTTATGTGTAGTGACTAGGTGAATAGTTAACACACAAGGAGCATGCAGAGGTATTATAGTTCAAACAGGATAGGACTCCCCAAACTCATGAATATTTAGATTCCAACGTCTCACGTTAAGGCCAATGGATTTAGAGAGGAGGCTTCATCCAGTTACAGGATGAAGGTGGGGAAGTGTTTGGGCTCAAATTAAGTTTTTAGGGTAGAACTCTGTGATCAACTCATGATAGTGTTAATAGAGGCACACACACAGGTATAGAGGAAGAGTGTGATTCTTGCCTGTCTCTCTGCGTCCTCCCTCTGCATACATTATGCCAAGGGCCACTCTCATCTGATGCCAGACTGATGGCGTTACCCAGTCTAGGGCTGTAAAGCTCCAAAACTATAAGCTGAAACAAACCTTCATTCATAAAGTAACTTCTCTTGGGTTTTTTAGCTAAAGTAATTAAAAGTTGATTAATACATGGGTGATGCTTGGAGTGCATGTGGGTGATGAGTAGGTAAGTATAGGGTAGGTGAATGACTATGTGCCTTAGTAGATGGATGGACTGATGGCTACCTGGGAGGATGAGCGAATGCATGGAGGATGAGTAGATGGTGTACAGTAGTAACATATATTTACTTCCATATATTTACTTCTGTTGAACTGTTGTTCAACAGATTCATTATTCAACATCCCCCTGATACTGCCAGGTCTTTCAAACCCAAGATCTAAAAATAAACTCACCATCTGTCACCTCAAAACCTGCATTTCTTCCTCCAAAGAAGAGAACTGACCACATTGAGAGGGCCATAATTCCACCCTGTGCTTCCCCTTCAAAAGAAAACTGGAATTCCTTAATCTCCGGTGGTGCTGGAGGAATGAGTGGGATTTTCCCTTTGGTGGTGGTGATGATGAACGTGGGGGTGATGGGTGGCAACTCTGACAACTGGGGTCAGTGAGGACTGTCACCTGGACCACAGTGATTACGGACACTAAAAGTAAGTCTTAAAAGGCTGCACACTCCAGGGAGGACTAAACTCTCCAGAGAAGGCACGTGTTGAACTAGATGGCTTGCCCCAAGCAGGAGGAGTCTGGGATGGCAGGTTAGTGAGCCAGAGACCCCTCTGCTCTCCATCACCCTGGGCATGGGAGTCAGCAGGTGGTACCTTCAGCAGATCTTTGGCAAAGTCTTGGCCATCGTTCAGCTGGTCCAGGTTGGCAATGAATTGCTGGCAAGACATCTTCTTACCGATATTCTGTAATGGAGAAACGATTCTACCTGAGAGAAGGGAAGGTAGTCGCTGTGACCCACACACCTGCCCCTCCCAGCCAGAGGGAGGCAGCATCAAGGGAAGTAAGGAAAGTAAAAACCACCTGGATTTGCCTCCACACATACACAAAACCTCTCTCCCACATTCAAGATCCTAAATGATTGTCAAGCAACATGACAATGGTTCTCCTTAACCCTAAGGAAGGAATCCAGCTTGGAAGAAATGTAATAGCAGCCATTCAACAGGCGCCTGCTATACCCCAGGTATTGTCCTTGACACCCGTTATCTTATCTCCTTCTCACCAGAGAAGGGGAGATGGGTTGCTTTACTATTTCCATTTGACAGGTAAGGAAACAGGTCCAGGAAGGTGAAATGAGGTCCCCATGGTCACACAATAAGGAAGTGGAAGGGCCAAGTGTGTGGGACACAAAGCCCATGCTCTCACCCACTACTCCTGGTTAACTCGGCAAGGTCACTCAACACCAGGTTGCTTGGCTCCTGAGCCGAAGCTCTGTATTCTGCCACACCTGTCTCACCCTCTCACCTGAACAGAGGACAGCAAGACCTCCAAGATGTAGGTGAAGTGAGGGAGAGTTTGGCCTTAGGAGAGTCAAAAAGCAGTTTCCGCCAACACACATGAGTACCTGATGCCAGGTGGGACTGGGACAAAGAAGATCCATGTGTGTGGCTTCCCTCCTGCCGGCACAAACAAAGAAGTGGCAATAGCTGTGACCCCCGGCTCCACCTTCTTTCCTTAGAGTACTCTCTGCTCTTCCTTGGAGTGTCTGCATTTAGGGAGACACTGGGTGCTGTTTCATCTTTGGGAGGTTTAGTGGGTTTGGTTTTTCTAAAAATAGTGTGGTCTAGGACTCACCCCCAGAACCCTGGCATCTCTTGAGATGAAAATGCATACTCTTCCAAAAAGCCTTTTGTAACCAAACATGCTTATTTACATTTCTGTCTTTAGTCTGCTTGGGTGTGCTGAAGCTCTCCAAAAGGAGTTTTATGTACAGTTCCCGAATGTTTTGAACTTGGCACCATTTTAACAAAGAGACATTGTATTAACACTAGATGGGACATTCATAAACTACATAAATCATTTGAAACAAAAAAAAACAAGGTTATGAGGCTTCAAACAGGGCTGACAAGCACCTTCTCCAAAAGGTTAAGCAGGAAAGATTTTGTATGTGCCTTGATATAAGTACGCTTCATGTGTTTATGTATATTTTCACAGTTACATATCTGTGTGTTCATGTGTATAAATGCATGGCTGTGTGTGTGTGTGTGTGTGTGTGTGTGTGTGTGTGTGTGTGTGTGTGTGTGTGTGTGTGTGTGTGTGTGGCAGAAAAGCAAAACATCAATGCTGTAACCTTGCCTTTGCATTCCACACACACTGCACACACTGAATACTAGCCAGGTTAGATTTCCAGTCCGGGCGATGACAATCTTGTCACAGATGAACCTTCCCAGAAGAAACAACTGAAGGTTAAAATACACACAAACACATCAATGAAGCATCGGCATGAAGGCACTGGACAAACAGCAGTCAAGGACTTGAAGAGCGAGGACCCTGCGAGGGGAGGGAGGAGACATAAAGAGGAGATGCCGCCCAGATCAACCTTCCTCCCTGATGCACCTGTCAGCCAAACCGTGGGGCCTCCTAGCAGTGTGCTGGGACTGGACAAGAAGAATTAGAAGGGCCCGGCGGCTTAAGTCCTCGCCTTGAACGCGCCAGGATCCCATATGGGCGCCAGTTCTAATCCCGGCAGCTCCACTTCCCATCCAGCTCCCTCCTTGTGGCCTGGGAAAGCAGTTGAGGATGGCCCAAAGCTTCGGGACCCTGCACCCGTGTGGGACACCCGGAAGGGGTTCCTGGATCCTAGCTTCGGATTGGCATAGCATCGGCCGTTGCGCTCACTTGGGGAGTGAATCTTCCCCTCTGTCGGACGGAGGATCTTCCCCTCTGTCTCTCCTCCTCTCTGTATATCTGACTTTCCAATAAATAAATAAATCTTTTAAAAAAAAAAAAGAATTAGAGGTCCCAGCATGGTAGCCTAGTGGCTAAAGCCCTCGCCTAGCACATACTGGGCTCCCATATGGGTACCAATCCATGTTCCAGCGGTTTTGGCCTTGCTTCCCATCCAGCTCCCTGCATGTGGCCTGGAAAAGCAGTCAAGGATGGCCCAAAGCCTTGGGACCCTGCACCTGCCCCCATGTGAGAAACCCAGAAGAATCTCCCGGCTCCTGGTTTCAGATAGGCTCAGGTCTGGCTGTGCCATTGAAGCCACTCAGGGAGTGAATCAGCAGACAGCAGATGTTCCTCTCTGTCTCTCCTCTTCTATATATATCTAACTTTCTGATAAAAATAAATAAGAAATCTTTTTAAAAAAGAATTAGAGTTCAGGGAACACCAAGGATGGGAGGCTCTGGGGAACACCCCCATGGTGCTGCAACAAAAGATGGGAGATTTGAAATGAAAAGCAAGTTCTTCGCTTGGAACGTTAGCTCAGATGGAAACCCTGAGAAGCAGGTAGAAATAAAGAGTAACAGAAAGAGGGGGTAACTCTAAATGATTATCGGTTCACTGAATATTGATTTGCAGAACAATGCTCAACTTTTCCAGGAAATAAAATAGAGGCATAAGAATTTGAGTGTGAGCTCAAAGAGCAGTAAGTGCACCTGAAGTGTTTTAAAGCATTTCATCACCCAGGAAGTGGCAGAGGTACTTTAATTAATCAGGGATGCCTATTGTAAACCATAAAAAGAATTCTTAAAGAATGTGCAAAGAACCAACTAATAGGAAGAGAAAATAAGAAACTTAAATAATCCAAAAGTAGGCAGGAAAGGGAGGGAAAATGAACACAGAATAGTCAAAGAGAAAACAATTAGTAGCATGGGATATTTAAATTTTATGATTTATACAATAATTACATCAAATATGATATATTTGATTTTTAATAAATATATGAGACACACCTTAAATATAAAGAAACAGAAATCATGGAGGCAAGAAGGCAAAAAACAACACACCATGCAAACACTAACTGAAACAGTCTGTCTGAAACAGTTCATATCTGAAAAACAGTTTTGCAGGCAAGAAGCATCACTAGATTTAAAGAGAGATGTTTTCATGATGAAAGATCAATTCACCAGACAGCATAATCATCCTAAATCCAGATAATACCAAACAACATAGTCTCAGAATATACAGGACTTTTACAGAACCACGAGCAGATGTATTCACAACCTGATTGGAGGATGCAACACTCTCTCAGTAACAAAAGAACATGCAGACAAAAAATCACCAAGAACAGAGGCCAGTGTTGTAGCACAGCATGAAAAGCTACCACCTGCAATGCTGGCATCCCAACTGGGCACTGATGTGAATCCCAGCTGCTCTCCTTACGAACCAACTTCTGACTAACATGCCTGGGGAGGCAGCAGAAGATGGCCCAAGGATTGGGCCCTTATATCAACACAGGAGACCCAGAAGGAGTTCCTGGCTTCTATCTTTGGCCTGGTCTAGCCCCAGCAATTACGGACACTGGGGGAGTGAACCAGCAGATGAAGATTCTCTCTCTCTCTTTTCAATCAAATAAATCCTTTAAATTAGCAAGAATACTAATTATATGCCAAGAAAATAGACAATTAATAGAGTCTTAGAAACAGACTACCAAAACACTAGCATCCCATGTGGGTACCAGTTCAAGTCCCAACAGCTCCACTTCTAGTTCCTTGCGAATGCACCTGGGAAACCAATGCAAAATGGCCCAAGTGCTTCGACCTCTGCCTCCCACATGGGAGACCCAGAAGAAGCTCCTGGCTCCTGCCTTCGGCTGGCTTGGCTTCTGGCCATTGTGGCCCATTTGGGGAATGAATGAGCAGATGGAGGAGATCTCTCTAACTCTGGCTGTCAAATAAATAAATAAATATTTTTAAAATGGGCCACTGGCAGAAGAGTGTATACACAGACAACAGAATCAAGTTTTTTAAGAGTCCAGAAATAAACCTGTACATTATGTTCAACCACCTAGCAGAGAAAGAATATTCCTTTCAACAAGTGGTACTAGAACAATAGATATTCACATGCAAAAGAGAAAAATTGGTGATTTTCCTCACACAATACTTAGCTCAAAATGGATGAAAGACCAAAAGCTAAGAGCCAAAACCATTAAACTCTTAGAACATAAAGTCACACCTTTTTAACCTTGTATTTGGTGAAAAGTGTTTATATATGACACCAAAAGTACAACAAACTGAGGAGAAAGACCAACTGGACTTCACAAAAATGTGAAACTTTTGTTGTTATCAAAGACTAACCGCAGAATGAGAAATATTTGCAGATTGTGTATGTGATAAAGGTCTAGTATCTGGAATACACAAAGAAATCTCAGAATGCAACAAATGGCCAGCAAGCCATATTCAACATCACCAGTCATAAAAAAATGCCAACCAAGGCCACAAAGCTATTTCACATAGAATGGCTGTCATTTAAAGAAAAAGAAAAAGAAAAAAAGAAAGAGAGAAAGAGAGAAAGAGAGAGAAAGAAAGAAAGAAAGAAAGAAAGAAAGAAAGAAAGAAAGAGAGAAAGAGTTGGTAAAAATGTGAAGTGGGACCCTGTTCCATTCAGCCACTATGGGAAACAGTTTGGCAGTTTCTCAAAAAGTTACATGTGTAATTATCATGTGATGTACCAAGTCTACCCTGGGTATACAGCCAAAAGAACCAGACACTCAAACAGAGCCTTCTACACAAATGTCCACAGGAGCCCCTACTTCAAATAATTCAAATAAATGGATATACAAGATGTAACATGTCCATGTGATAGGATATTATTTAGCCATGAACAATTAAATACTGACACATACTGCAACATAGATAAACCTTGAAAACATTATACTACATTTAAAAAGTCAAGCACAATGGGCCACATGTTGTGTGATTCCGTGGGTATGAAATCTCAACAGTGGACAAATCCACAGGGACAGATAGCCAATCCACACTTCCCAGGGGCTGCATGGAGGAGGTGAGGCGCATGGCAGCTGAGAGGCACCAGGCTTCCTTCCAGGCTGAGAGCAAGTTCCAGGACTAGGCCGTGTGGTGGTTACATACCACTGTAGACACCCTTCTATGCCACTTATGGCACTAAAATTGTGCCTTCACATGGAGCGAGGAAACCTAACTTCTTCCAAGGGCCACTGGATATTCATAATAACATGCACTGTTGACACAAAATTGTCAGCTTAGAAAGCAGCCTGCTGTAGGGTATGTTAAATTTCAAGTCCCACCTGCAGCTGCTTTGGCAGGATCAAACCAAACGATTTTGTGGGTCTTATATGGCCTATGAGCCGAACATTCCCAAACCCTGTAAATGACTAAAAGAGTCCATTATAAGCTGTACATTTGTAACCACAACAAAAGGTATCAATGAGGATACAGAACCTCCCAACACAAAGTACCCAACGTCCCTGGCATGTAAAACAGCATAACCAAGTACTGCATACTTGGTTTCTAGTCCACATGAAACATTTATTCAAATTGATTGCTCCCTGGAGCAGAAAAGCAAGACTCCATAAATTACAAAGAAGTGAATTTACACTAGATATGCAACTGCTTTAGAGTACAGTGATAATGAGGATGATGGTGACAGCCAAGTGAAAGCCACGTGCCCTAATCACTGCCTAACCATGGAGGGGCCACGATGTGTGACCTGAATGCCCACTTTCTCCCTTCCCTCCACCCTGCCACTCAGCCACCTTGCTATGCAAATTTTTCTTCCTACCTGCAGCTCCAGGCACAAACAAGTCACAGCCAGCCTGGTCACGCCCCTCTCAGGCCAGGCGATCCCCTCCAGAAGCCTACCTCCATGCCCTGGGCAGAGTGCTCAGCATGTGCTGTGACCACCTCACCCGGACACTGAGGATTGCTCAGGTCACTAACTTGCCTCTGGCCACACAGCCAGCCAGAGCTGCCCCGCTCCGGAGCCGCAAACAACATGGACCCAAGCAGAGAGCCTCCTCTCTGTGGGCTCAGCCAGGCCCTGCCCACCTCTGCTCTGTGAAGTGCCACTGTCTCCCCCAAATGCGGCATCAGCATGGAAATGGGACAGGGTACTCTCCTCCTGGGGGGCTCCCCAAGTACTGACTGGCACCCTCCTCATAGGGAGGGTCCTTCAGGGCTGATCCCAGCAGGGACAGGGCCTGAGACTGACCTCAGGCTGCTGGTGGGAGAGGCACGGCTCAGCAACACCTGCTCTCAAGGCTCCCTGTTTCACACTCAGGCTGTGGCGTAGGCAGACTCAGGCAAAGGTGTCATGCATCTGTTCTTCCTGCTTGGGGCACCAAGGTCCCAGCCCTCCCGGTCTGGGTGCCCTGCCTGTGCCCAGCTCCTCCTCTTACCCACGCACAGGCTGTAGTCAGCCTGTGACGTACATGCTCTTGACCTTCCAAGGGCCCACAGTGTCAATCACAAAAGCTAGTGCTGTTCTTACACCATAACATCATTCCTGACAAACCCCTCACTGGAACCTGGCCCTAACCCTGACCCTGACCCTTGGCCTTGTGTACTGTTAGCTCTCAGTCCTTTCCCCACCCCCATGCCATGATACCCAAGCTGAGTAAAGGAGAGGGCCTGCAACCTGTCCAGGGTCACACAGTTCCCACATACAGGCAACAGTCGAAACAAAAGTCGGGGCTGTTCCATCTCTTCCTTCCAGCCCCTACTCCCTAACCTTCACTGATTAACTCTGAAACCAGACACACTGGCCTGATGTCCCCTGATTCACCAAGATACCCCGAGTCCAACAGTGGGTATGGCCGCCCCTCAGTGAGCAATAATGGGGCATGATGAGGCAAGACAGCATGGAGGACGCAGAAGTGTGACATGGAGATGGGGATCCAGGCACACAGGGCATGCAGGCCACCAGCTACACTTACCACCTGCAGGGGTAGGAGAGCCCAGAGGGGGTCCCGGAGCAAACAGAAGAGAAAAGGAGGGGTTGTTGAGCCAGGAGAAACAATGAGGGTCCGAGCCAGCACCACACCCTGCCTCATACTCCACCCTAATTTCATTGACCTGGTGAGTGTGATGAGATCGCTTTTTGGGGGAACCCAGTACTTGCTTGGCAGGGGCTACTTGGAGCTTGTGGAAAAGGGATGAAAACAGCAAGTTCTGGCAGGGACTTGCCTAGTGGTACATACCTCCTTAGCACCTCCAAAACTCCCAGGGGCCTTGATCATGCTCACTGCCCTGCAGAGGGGCCAAGACCCAGACAGATCTCAAAGTGGGTACAACTACGACAAGGCCATTTCCAGAAGTCAGATTGCCCAACTGCTGGAAGAAATGTGGTCACTGGGCAAGCAGGCTCAGACAGGGGCTGGGAGAAGGGCTGGCCCTTGGGCACCCCAAGGGGGCCATTGAGAGGACAGGCACCGCAACCCCCAACTCACGTGGCCATGCAGGTCCGTGTTGAGCAGCATCAGTGCACAGGTGAGTGTGTGGATTCCATCTAAACCAGAGACGTTGGCACCTTCAGTGTGAGCATCGGCCCACTGTCACCCCAGCTCCCTACCTTTCTGGGGCCATCCTGGAGGCCTTGCAGACAGGAAAGGGCCAAACCCACCTCACCCTCCCACTGCTGTGCCAGAGAGAACCTGCCCCCACCCACCCAGTGTAGCCCAACCCAAGCCTCAGACACAGCAATGGATCTGGACCTGGACCCTGTTGGCACTGTCACTCCCAGGCCTGGGACCTGAGTTCACCCACAGGGCAAGCCTTGACTTCAACCCAGTCTCAGGAACCACAGTGACCAGGAGATGAAAACCAGAAGGACTAAAGCCCCCAGGATGGTTGACCTCCAGGCCCAGGGGCAAACCCATCTGCGTGCTACCTCTTCATCTGGCATTAAAAGCCTACTGTATGCCAGAGAGAACAGGTGAGCTGGGCACAGCAGGAGGACAAGGCAAGGGCAGTGGGACAGGAGGCATACCTTCCGAGGTGCTGTCTTCGGGGTTGCACTGGCAATACCGGCGGGAGAAGTGTGTCAGGACCCGCTCCCGCTCTTGTGTCTCTCCCATCAGAGGGAAGGCCTTCAGGAAGTTTCTGGTAGGGAAAACCAGATTGCTGAGGGCCTCTTGGGGCTCCTAAGTCTCACCCAAGGTAGCAACCATACACACACACGGGGACCCAGGGCCCAGCAACCTGGCATCTGGTTCAGGGCACCCCTCCAGGCTCAGGGAGATGCCTGGCCCCCAGAAGGCCTCTGGAGTGCTGAGACTAGGGGGCCTGACAGACTTCAGAGTTTCAGCCCTCCCCAGCCTCCCCATGCACACTGTAAGGAACAAAGGTGGTGGTGTGCAAGGGTGTATATTTGACACATTAGTTATCACTTGGAACACCTGCACAGCAGCCCCGCTTCCAGTTTCAGTTTCCTGCTAACACACAGACATCGAAAGATTACAGGTCAGGTTCGTGTGGCCCTGTGACCCAGAAGGGAGGCCAGGCTGAGTTCTAGGTACCCGACTTCAGCCTCGTCCGGTCCCAGATGTTGTGAGCATTTAGGGAATGAAGCAGCAGGTGATCTCTCTCTCTCTCTCACTTGCAAACAAATTACATAAATAATTTTTTTTTCAAAAGTGACTAAGCATGCAAAACGCCAGGATACATGATTTTTTAGAAAAAGGTGAGGGGGTGTGGGGAGCAGACATTTGGTGCAGCCATTAAGTCACCCACATCCATACTGGAATGCCTGGGTTGAAGGCCCAGCTCTGCTTCTGGCCCCTTGCTTCCTGCTAATGTATTCCCTGGAGGCAGCAACTGATGACTCAAAAACTCAGCTCCCTTTCACCCACATGGGAGACCTAGACTGAATCCAGGACTCTTAACTTTGGAATAACCCAGCCTCAACTATCTATCAGAGGCATCTGGGGAGTAAACCAACAGAAAAAAAAAAACTTAATCCTCTACATATTATCTATCTTTAAAAAGAAAAAAAAAAGAAGAGGAAGAAGATTTATTTGAAAGGAGAGTTACACAGCAAGAAAAGGGAGAAGACAGACCAATTGATTTCCAGTCACTGGTCTCCTCCCCAAATGGCTAGAATGGCCAGAGCAGGGCCAATCTGAAACTGGGAACTACAAGCTTCCTCCAGGTTTCCCACATGAGTGCAGGGGCCCAAGCCCTTGGGCCATCTCTGCTGCCTCCCCAGGCACATTAGTGAGGAGCTGGATTGAAAGTGGAGCAGCCAAGACTCAAGCAACACCCAGTGGGATGCTGTGTTGCAGGCAGTGGTTCTACCGGCTATGCCATGGCACTGGTCCCTTTTTCATCTTTCATCTTTCTTTGCCTTGCAAAGTAAACAAATTTTTCAAGTGCTTAGAAACAGATGCAATAGAAACAGGTAAATTAGATAATGCAAATTTTGGAGTTAGCAAAGATTTTACTACGATTACATTCAAGAAAGGGTGGGAGTGGAGATGTCATTGTGATATAGCAGGTTATGCCTCTACCTGTGACACAAGCATCCCATAAGGACATGAGTTCAAGATCCAGCTGCTCCACTTCCAAACCTGCTTCCTGTTAATGAACCCAGGAAAGCAGCAAAAGATGGCTCAAGCGCATGGGCCCTGCACCGCTCTGGGATACCCAGAAGAAGCTCCTAGCTCCTGGCCCTGACCTGGTCTAGCGCCAGCTTCTGTTGCCATTTGGGGAATGAATCAGTAGATGGAAGATCTCTTTCTCTCTGTATCCCTTCCTCTCTCCATGTAACTGACTTCCAAACAAATAGATAAACTGAAGAGAGGGGGGGAAATAGGGAAAATGAGTGAAATGGCAAGAAATTCTGACAAAATGAGAATCCTCTTCTTAAATTTTAATGAAGTGGAAATTCTAGAACTAAAACACATAACAGAAGCGGCTCGTATTGTGGTATAGAAAGAAGGACCCATCTACAATACCAACATCCCACACAGACACCAGTCTGTGTTCCACTGCTCCACTTCCCATTCAGCTCCCTGCTGACGTGCCCAGGAGGACAGTGCACATGCTTGGGCTCCTGCCCCCATGTGGAGGATCCAGAGGAAGCTCCTGGCTTCTGGCTTTGCCCCAAATCAGCCCCAGTAATGTGCCCATTTAGAGTGAATCAGCAGATACAAGACCTCTGGCTCTCCCTCCTTCTTTCTAACTCAACCTTTTAAATTAATAGATAAAAAATATTTAAAAACAAAAGAAACTAAAAACCTAATCCCTAACCTATTGGTTTAGCGGGTTATTAAACACAGGAAAAGGGAAAATGAACTGAAATCAGTGTCAACAGAAAACAGCCCAACTGAAGCACAGATCGAACTACAGAAATCTCAGTTTTTAAAGTGTTAGAGACATCAGGGACACAACAACAAGGTCTGAGGGACATGGGCACCCACCCACCAGCCCAGCATGCACTGTCTGTCCTTTGTGTTCCCGTTGCCCGTCCCCGCCTCTCACCTCCATTAGAGCCTCATGGACCCTGGGTTGCATTCACCCATTCTCCCTATCCTGCTCCCTGGGCCCTGCAGAGGAGGGCCCACCTCCCTTGTGGGTGGCTGGCTGTGTATGTGTATGTTTTGGGGATGTTCCTCCCTCATCCCAAACACCAGGCAGCCCTGAGATCAACTCCACTTTACTATCTCTTCCCTCAGAGACTGGGCAGGGGGAGTCTCTCTCCCTTCTTGGCCCATACGAAATATAGGCAAGCCAGAGCCCACCTTACGGGAGTGCTAGGAAGACACAGGAAGCTAATGTACCCAGACGCCCAGCATCAGGCTAACCAAGGCATCCAGGACTCATAGGTCCTTTGCTATCTTTCTTCCCCGCAAAGGGTTCTTACATTTCCACCCTCACAACCCTTCCCACAGCCTCATCAGAGAGGTCAAGACACTAGCCCAAGGCAGCACAGTGGGCATGAAACAGACAGTAGGAGGCTGCTCGTGCCACCTGTGGATGCTGACCCACCCTAGCCCCACTGACCTGAGTGCCCGGTCCAAAGTTAGGCCTGAGAAGTCGAAGAAACTGAGGTATTCCCCAGCCACCAGCCTGCTGAAGTCATTGCTGTCAGGAGAGCAGAGTAGGTATCCATTAGAAGCAGGGTCCAACCCAAGAAGGCACAGCAATGGGAAGTGTTAGGGGAGCGGGTCCCCGAGAACCACAACCACCCATCTAGATCTCACAACCCCCAGACTGCCTCCCCGAGTCAGGATCTGACAGCTCAACTATAGGCTGAGGGACAGAAAGGCTTCCTAGAGAAGGTGGAGTTCCAGCCAACACAGAAAATTAGGACTCATCACAGGCAAGAGGGCCTAGGACACTCCCCAGCAGAGGAATCTGCCCAACATGTCTAGGAGCAACCAGCAGGGCCAGGGGCCCGAGGCTGTGGAGCAGGTGTGGGGCAGCAGGAGATGAAGTGGGACCAGAGCCTGTGGGCCAGCTAGGAGGACACAGACTCCAGCCTGAAGGATTCAGAGTTGGGGGTAGTGGGTCTGCATTTGGGGAGTCTAATGGCTGAATGGAGAGCCATGGGCGGAGGCAGTGGCAGGGATGGGGAGAAGCCACAGAACATTAGTGACCAGATGGGTATGGGACATGATCAAGAAGGTAGTCACCTGGGTCAGATGTGATGCTTAAGAAAAAGTCAGGGCTGGGTGTGTGCCTGGGAGGTCATTAATGTATAGGGGTTAACTAGAGTGCCAAGGGGCTGGTGCTGTGTTTCTCATCCAGCTATTTGCCTGTGGCCTGGGAAAGCAGTTGAGGATGGCCCAAAGCCTTGGGACCATGCACCCACATGGGAGACCAGGAAGAAGCTCCTGGCTTTGAATCGGCTCAACTCTGGCCACTGCAGCCATTTGGGGAGTGAATCAGTGGATGGCAGATCTTCCTCTCTGTCTCTCCTTCTCACTGTTATTCTGACTTTCCAATAAAAAATAAAATAAAACAAATCTAAAAAAAAATCATTTATCAGGCGCAGGTGTTACAAAATAGCAGGTAAAGCCTCCAGCATTCCATATGGGTACTGATTCAAGTTCTAGCTGCTCCACTTTTAAAGATTTATTTATTTATTGGAAAGTCAGATATACAGAGAGGAGGAGAGACAGAGAGAAAGATCCTTCGTCCGCTGATTCACTCCCCAAGTGAGCGCAACGGCCGATGCTATGCCGATCCGAAGCTAGGAGCCAGAAGCTCTTCCAGGTATCCTACACGGGTGCAGGGTCCCAAAGCTTTGGACCATCCTCGTCTGCTTTCCCGGGCCACAAGCAGGGAGCTGGATGGGAAGCAGAGCTGCCGGGATTAGAACTGGCGCCCATATGGGATCCTGGCGCGTTCAAGGCGAGGACTTTAGCTGCTAGGCCACGCCGCCAGGCCCTAGCTGCTCCACTTTTCTGCTGCATTCCCCTACTTTTTAACAGGGAGCTAGATCAAAACAGCCTAAGTATTTGGGCTCCTGTACCCATGTGCTTGAAGCTCCTGGCCTCTGCCTGGCCCACTCAACATGTAGGAAATACAACTATCAGATGAAAGATTTCTCTGTGTCTCTTTATCACTCTGTATAACTCCAACTTTTAAATAAATAAATAAATATCTTTCAAAATCATTATCAGTTGAAAATATATATTTTTGGTTCAAATGAAAGAGTGCCTGAGATATATTTTTAAATATTTCAACCAATGGGGTGGGGGAGAATAAGGAAAATCATTGGCAACTTTGAGGCCAAGTAATAGGTAGAGGCAGGTTTAATATCCTATTTTATCTGCCTTTATGTACATTTGAAAACTTAATGGAAGAAAATGTTAAAAAAAGAGAGCTACACCAACATGAGGAAGAAGGGGAGGCAAGGACAGGCCTGGGAGAAGGCACCAGGCCATTGTGATCTTGCCAAGAGGTTTCTGTAGGGAGTTGATGGTAGGGGGTGCTTGGTGACAGCAGGAGGGCTCGGGGCCACCCAGACAACCTGGGAATTTCAACTGAAATAGGCTTGAGGAACAAGAGGAGCTAGGGAAGGGTCTGGGTTTCAGATGGGAGAGATGTGAGCCCTGTGGGTCGCTGCTGGGCAGACTGCTACAGGAGGCGTGGCAGCAAGGACAAGGGCGGGTGGACCCCAAGTTAGCTCCAGAAAGGACAACCTGGAGCTGGGTCACTACCAAAAGGGGGTGTCAGGACTTGTGGTTTCTGGACTGGCACTAGTGTCAGGGCGACAGGAAGGCTGTAGAAGGTGGAAGGGGCAGAGGTTCAAGACAACCTGGGAACAGACCTGCTTGGGGTCTCTCTGAGGGCCTAAGGCCCCTGTCAGGCTCCCTCATAGTTACAGTCTGGATGGTCACCCTGAACTTGCCTGCTCCTGGCAGTCAAAGACTGCCTGTAGGTGTCAGGAAGCACCCTGCATGGCAGGGCCAAGCGCAGTGGGCATGCTGCTGGCAGACCTGCCCAACTGTGCTGGTAGCCTTCTGGATCTCAGCGCCCCTGCCTGGCCCTAGCCCCTTCCCACCTGGCTAAGCACCCTTACCTGGCCAAGTGCCCTTTACAGCCACTCTCAAGGCCATGGCCTGTGATGAGAGAACTTGGGCCTTCTCAGCCAGTCCCAGAACACAGCAGGGCACAGTGAGGACCTGGAAGAGCCCCCCAGCTGTTTCTCTGGCTCAGGGTTCTCCTCTCTCCCTGCCCCCTCAGGGGGGCCACAAGCTGCTGTTCTCACTACCACCCAGCATGCTCCTAACGCCTCATTCCCCTTCCACACCTCCATCTGTGCCCCAGCCCTGAGGAGACCAAGGGCCCCGCCCAAGCAGCCCAGAAAGGAAACAGATTTAGGGCGAGGCCAGGAATGAGGACAGAGCGGGAGGCAGCAGCCTTGGGGATTGTTGGGAGCCCCCCCCCAACCTAGCACCAAGTACCCCTGCAAGGACTCTCTGCCCCTGAGGAGGCTGGGGTACATTCAGGTTTGCCTGGGAAGATGGGGGCAGGATACACTTACTTCTTGCCCAGCTGCCGGGCCACGTCGCAGCGCTGGAAGCCCTCCAGGTGGTACAGGCGGCGGGCCAGCCTGCGAGCAGCCTCATTCATACCCTGGCACCCATTGGCCAATGAGTCTGCACCACCAGGCTCCAGCCCCTCCGAGCTGCTCAGCTCCGAGTCCGAATCCGACAGGCCATCCTTCAGGCTGGGGTCACTGTGGACACAGCAAGACATGAGGCCGGGAGCTCATCCCAGGGCCCCTGAAAACCCAGTGGGGCCAGAAAAAAGGAAAGAAGCCCGCTCAGCAGGAGGGGATCAGATTAGAGCCCACCCTAGGACTCCTCAAGGGAATCCAGGTGCCCACCCCCCACACGACCACAGCTCCCACACTCCCACCTGGGGGAGCAGAGTGGATGCTGAGGCCCAGGAACAGGATGTCTCCACACAGTGGGTGGCACAGTGACCTTACAGAGGCCATGTTGACCTTGGACACTGGGTTGCTAATTTTCTTTCCTGCCTCCCCTTCTCCCTTTCTTCTGTTCCATCGCCCCCCGGCCCAGTCCCTGTCTCACCTGGCTGAGTTGAGCATCTTGTCTGTGTCCTCCTCGTCGTCCTCCTCTTCCTCCTCCTCCCTGCCTGTGCCCGAGGCTCCGTTTTCATGGAAGCCATTGGGCATGGCGGTGAGAGACAGGCGGCTCAGGACGTTCTCCGAGCGGCTGCAGGAGATGGAGCGTCGCAGGGGGCTGCCCAGCTCTCCATCACCACCAGCTGCTCCCGTGTCCTGCTCAGGCCCCAGGTCCCCAAGGCCCAGCCCGGGCCCCGGCTCGGGGCTGTCCCGGGCCCGCTGCTGGATGAGGGGCGTGAGAGGGGCCTCAAAGCTGACACAGCTGTCGCTCTCATCTGTGAGGCTCAGGGCGTCCAGGGAGTCAAGGCTGCTGTACTGAGTGCCCCGCAAAAGCTCTGATTCCAGAATCTTCTCGAACGTGGCGCTGAATCCATCACGTACATCTGGTTCCCCGGGGTCATCCAGACTGTGGGATGTAAGGACCTAGTCACTATCCTTTCCAGGTGGACCCACACACGAATACTGGCAACTGGAATATTTAGAATATCTAGGCCCTGCTCCTGCAGCTAGGCATGCCCTGGAGGCAAGAAGGCGGGCATGGGCTATACCCTGTTGATCAATTCTACCAACCACACTTGCTGGCCACCAGCCACCAAGCACTGGGCTGTGGACTGGGGACACAGCCTCCGGAGGAGGCATCAAGTCATCTTTGAAATGAATGACGCTGAGGCAGCTCCCTCAGCCCAGCTTGGGTGATACTCCTCCCATGACAATGAAGACAGCTCTCTATCCCAACTTGAGTCCCACAGAGGCGCCATTTCCCTGTCCTCATGGCCTGGAGGCTTCCGTGTAGGGCCAACCACTCCCCAGGACTCAGGCCTTGTCTTCACGTCCCTCTCTCACAAGGCCCCTTTCCTGGGATACCCTAGTCACACGTAATAGTCCACTTTCTCCCTCTTCTCCAGTCCCCACCCAAACAAACCAAAGTCTACCCGACGAAGATGCCCTTGCCAGCCTGCACTGGGCACTGCAGGCATCCACACTGGTCAGGGCCCTGTGGGTCACACCATGTTCCCAGGTCATCATCACAGCTTCCTGTGAGACCCATCTCTCCCCAACGCCTCTTGGAAGACGCTAGACCATGAGTGCACCACTGGGAAAAGGGGGAGTGCAGCATCCCTCAGAAAACTCAGGGTACAAACAGCTTGCTAGCCCTAAACACCCATGCATAAAAGCCAGATTGACAAAGGAACTAGGCATAAGCCACAAAGCAATGGAGCTGTCACATGTGAGGGCCCTGCAGCAACCCCCTCAAAACATCCACTCACCCCAGATGAGGATCCTCAGTGTCGGCATGGAGACTGGAAGCATCGTCCCCTCGTGCCAGCCCGTCAGCACGCCAGGGCCGGGACTCTGCGTCCTCTTCCCGAGCATCTGTGTCCTGCCCCAGGGCTAGGCCATTGGTGAGGGACAGGTCAAGGCTAAGGCCGTGGGAGGCCACATTCTGCTCCTCTGGGGGCTCCTCTGTGCCCCCCAGGTGGTCCCTCTGCTTAAGCCCTGGGCTGCCAATGCTGCAGCACGAGCCCTCAGCAGTCTGGAAAATGGGGGCTTCTTCTTTGAGCTCCAGGTTGGGGCCCTCCTTGGGCAGGACAGGGTGGAATGTGTCTTTGTCCATGGCAGCCACTGCCCTACCCTGTCCTGGCTGCTCCTTGGACTCCACTAGACCTGGCGGCAGAGAGAGACAAAATCATGTGTAATAAGGTGCAGGAGCTGGGAGTCACAGCCCAGCAGAAGCTGGACCAGAAGGATGAGAGAGACACTGGCCTCAGAACCCCTCACGCCAAGGCCAGCCCCTCTCGCCTCTCCTTTGACCTTGGGCCAGTCCCTTGCACGCCATTTCCTGTCCTCTCTGCTGCCTCTTGTGCCTTTGCTGTGTCCTCCAGAATTACCCAAAGTCCTCTGAGGGAGACCTAGATGAGGACCTAGAGACAGGCCTAGTGCCCTGCTGCAGGATCCCTTTCATCCATGGAGAAGGCAGGGGACAGCACCCAAACTGACAGCAGCAAATTAAAGCCTCTGCCCGCTGTCTCTCGCCCTAGCTACAGGAGCCAGAGCAAAGTGCATCTGTGTTACACAAGAAGCAAACTCAGGTGGGGGCTGCCTTAGTTGGGGAGTTAAGATAGGAAGCAGGAGCAGCCGGCACAGTGGCCTAGCAAGCTAATCTTCCACCTGCGGTGCCAACATCACACAAGGACACTGGTTCATGTCCCAGCTGCTCCACTTCTGATAATAAGCTCCACTTCCAGCTCTCTGTTAATGGCCTGGGAAAGCAGAGAATGTCCCAAGTCCTTGGGTCCCTGTACTCACAGGGGAGACCTAGAAGAAGCACCTGGCTCCTAGCTTTGGATTGGCTCAACTGTGGCCATTAATAACCATTTGGGGAGTGAACCAACAGAGGGAAGATATTTTTTTGCGTCTGTCTCTCAGTAATTCTTTCAAGTGACATAAATCAAATTTTGTTGTAAAAAATTATTTGAAAAGAAAGGAAGGAGTGAGAGAGAAAGAAAGAAAGAAAGAAAGAAAGAAAGAAAAAAAGAAAGAAAGAAAGAAAGAAAGAAAGAAAGAAAGAAAGAAAGAAAGAAAGAAAGAAAGAAAGAAAGAAAGAAAGAAAGATCAATAAAAATCAAGAGCTTTCTCAGAGCAGGACAAAGCCAAGATGAACCAGGAGACAGCCACAAGCCTGGGGAAGCCCCGTGTTTGGTGCTGTCCAGGGTGCTGGGCGCAAGTAGCTCCATCCCGGAGCTTCAAGAAGGGCCAGAACCGCCTAAGACAGGAGAGAAGTGGCCTGCGATTTTCGTCCCTGCCAGAGCTTGCCCAGCCTTGGGGAGGGGCTCAAGAGCAGACCACAATGGCTATCCTGGGACAACACTATACCATCCCATTGGCCATGCGGCTTGTGTGGGTATAAGCAGCCTGGTGCCCTCTGCTGTACTCTGGGTCTTCTCTCTTTTGTAAAGTTACTATCTTACTTGGCCCTCCTGCCCCCTACACCACCCTACCCATTTGGTAAAGGATGGAAACCAGCACACATGACCTCCACAGATTCCAGCAGGGAGACAGAGCCCTGCATACTGGCCTGGCTTCTGGATCTTTCCTCTTCCTCTTTCTGCCCCCAGCCACCCAGTGACCTGGGCCACTAGGGACATAGACTAGGTCCCCTAAACACCCGCAGAGCTGCCGTGAGGCCTGCCCCCGGGGCACTTCCACCAGTTCTGGTGAAGCTACTTCCTTCCTCCTTTCTTATGCCCTTGCTACCTGTCCCCCAGCACCCCTACTCTCCTCCACATGGTGGTTTTCGGGTTCGGGAGAGGCTGGAAGAGCAGAGGGATGGCTTGGTCTTCTGGGCCACCTCAGAACAAGCTGTAGCCTCAGGGATCTAAGTGAGTCTGATTTCTCACACAGATTCACTCTGACTTACTATGCTTCAGCTTGACAGTTTTTCAGCTTTCCCATGGCATCAACATAGCACACATTAGGTGCACTTCGAATTTTTAACTGCGACCCTTCATTGGGACCAGAGTACTATGGTCCAATACCCCTTCATGAGATTGGGCAGTGATCAGCATAGCTCCCAGTCAGTGACCAACACCCCCTCGTGTGCTGTGCAGCTGACCAGGGCAGTTCAAGGTTAGGGCATTCCATGTGTTTTTAACTGAACAGTATTTTCAGACTTGTGATGGGTTCCTCAGGACGTGACCACACTGAATGTCAGGCAGCATTTGCCCTGGCAAGGCCCTGAGCATTACCTGAGGGGCTTGTTAAATCCAGACCTCTGAGCCCCCGCCCCAGGCCTCCTGAACCTGCCTCTACCAGGAAGGGGTTTTATAAACTGTTACAAGGAGGCAAGTGTGGGTAACACCCCGTTGGACTCTGGGAGGAACTTCCCATTTGGTGGAGATGAACTGGGGAGGCAGGGGCTTCTGGTTCCATCAGGCAGAATTCATCTCACCCTGCGCTTGCACACAGGGAGTGGGCCAGGCTCTCTGAGCTCCAGCCCCAACCCCTATGGTCGCCTCCTAGAGTTTGGGCTACTGTTGGAGAGGAAGACTTGACCTTAAAAAAAATTCCACAGATGCAAACCATCAGAAGAGGCAGGTTCTAGAATATCTAGGCCCTGCTCCCAGGACACCGGCAGCCCCCTGGGGCTCAGGATGAGGAAGGGATCTTTTCTGGTCCGCCCTAAATCCCCGCTGCTGCAGTTGCTATTTCTATCTGTTCCTTCTACTCAGAGGAAGGACGGGTCACCTCCTCCACAGAGACTCCTCTGGGGAGGTGGGGCCACATACCTACCGAGGAGAGGGGAGAGAAGGGCCCTACCCCCACGGCATAAGTTCTAGTCCCTGGCCTGCTGGTGCAGCAGCTATCCCAGGGCCTGAAAGAGCATCAGCTGGAGGGCTGCTGACCCCACCAGAGCACCCACAGGCCCCCACAACCGGGGCCCAGGCAGTTCCCCTCTGATCAAGCCTAAAGCTTGAGAGTTTAAGTGGCTGCCTCTGAGATTCAGACTACACCAGCCCCAGCTCCAGGGCTGTGGCCAAACCAGGGACCCCTGCAGAGACCCCTACAGAGACCCCTACAACAGCATCCCCCCCACACACACATACTTCTAGGGGCTGCCTCAGGCTAGCCCTGACCCTACCTGCCTGCCCAGTGCCCCTGCAGCTGGGAGCAGGACGGACCGTCTGCCAACACTGGGCACTGGGCCATGTCCTTGCTCTCTGAGGGGTGCAGGGTAGGCAGACAAGGGGCCGCATTGATCCCCACTCTGGGCGGGGGGCCCAGAGTCCCTGCCTGGGATGAGGGCCAGGTTAGCCCAAAAACAACTCAAATGGAACCCCTTCTTGCACAGCCCAAGAGAGGGGTGCACAAAAGGAAGGCTTAGGTTAAAACAAGGTCTCACCATTTCACTCCGAATCACCCATGGCTCTGCCCTGGCTTGTGGGAACCTTTCTGAGAAACAGGAATATTACCTGTGCTCCCCTTTGGTGACACAGGAAGAACTTAACATCATGAATGCTCAGAGAGTTGAGATCTGAGGATGAGCAAACTCACCTTGGACATGAAGGCTGAGAGACAGCTGTGCCCCACCTCCACCACATCCAACAAATGGGGAAACTGAGGCACAGAGGCCAGAGAGGCTTGCCTGAGGTCATGCTGTGGGCAGCCGCACCTTGCACCCAGGTGTGGCCTCCTGCTTCTGGATGCGCTGCAGGGACAGGATTCCCATCAGGCTCTGCCACAAAATCTAGGGCCCAAATCCTCCACCAGAAGAGCTCACAAACGCAATGATCTTGCCCCCTTCCAGGCAGGAGCAGGGAACGGGGTACAGCTGGGCCACTGGACACCCATGTCAAGGAGAGGCTTCAAATGATAGGTTGTCAGGGTCACAGTACCTTCACAACCTCTCTCAGCCAGATGTAGGTTCTGCCCCAGCAGGGATCTTTAAGATTTATTTATTTTTATTGAAAAGGCAGATATACAGAGAAGGAGATACAGAAAGAAAGATCTTTCATCCACCGATTCACTCCCCAAGAGGCCACAATGGCCAGAGCTGAGCTAATCTGAAGCCAGAAGCTTCTCCTAGGTCTCCCACGTGGGTGCAGGGTCCCAAGGGTTTGGGCTGTTCCCGACTGCCTTCCCAGGCCACAGGCAGGGACCTGGATAAGAAGCGGGGCTGCTGGGACACGGAACCAGTGTCCATATGGAATCCCAGCACATGCAAGGTGAGGACTTTAGCTGCTAGGCTATAGTGCCAGACCTTCCAGCAGGGTTCTTGAGACAACCTTGGGCAGCCTCTTTTCTGGGACCAGCTGAAATGGGAACTATGTTTATGGACGAACCCTGCCAGGCCAGGACTGAGTGCTGGGTCAAGCCCTTTGTGACCCTCTGTGGCTCCTGAGACAAGCCAGTCCCCCCTGAGCCCTGCCAGGTGGCAGTCACACCCTGTCCCTCTCATCCACACTACCCTATGATGACTGCCACCTTGTTGAGCCTAGAATCCACTCTCCCCAGCCTCAGCTGACTCTGCTACCCTCTCCCCATCATTCCCCTACCACCAGACACTCTGGCCCTCATTCCCATCCAGGGCCTTTGCACCACCTGTACCACACCCTAGATTTGGAAATGACTGCCTCTTTTGCCATCTAGGGCTCAACACCAGTGCTGATCCTCTGACCGCCAGGCCCTCTGTCACACTTCTCTCTGGAATGTCACAGCACAGAAAAGAGCAGAATCTCCCTTCTGTATCTGGTTTTTATTTCCTGTGGGTCTCCCTGAGTAGGAAGTAAGATCAGCAAAGGCAGAAACTGTCATGTTTGTGACTGTCTCTCCAAAGCCTAGCACACCCCCTGAGACCAAGTGGGTGTTTTTGTCACATATTGCTGAATAAATGACCTGGAGGGTATCAGCACCCCCATTTCCAGCAGAGGCTCAGAGGCTGCGGGACACACCCAAGGCTGCAGAGAAAAAGCAGCAAGACGGAGATCCTGCTCAGAGCTCCAGGCCATGGTCAGGATAATTTCACAGGCCCTTCAGGCCGGGACCCAATCAGTGACAGTACAAAGCCCAGGGACGGGACTAGAGAGAAGGCCAGCAGGGAGAGCTCAGGGGCAGGCTCACTAGGTGAGATCCAGGGGTAACAGAGCTGTGGGTGAATAGTGTGTGTG